TTGTATGAGCCCCTAATAAAATGATTTTTTTAAAGAAAGAGCTCTATGAGCCCCCAATAAAATGATTTTTTAAAAAATAACCAAACTGCTAACTTCACTTGTATTTTTTAACACTGAGATCATCTGTGAGAAAATGGGCGATGGCTTTATTTTCATGTTTGATCATTTATATTTTCTGAGTTGTTAATAATAAACAATTTGCAGTAAGTTGAAAACCCCAGAAAGAGAAATGTAAAGAGGGGAGAGCGGGGAGGGAGGGATAAAATGAGGAGCTGATGCCAGGGACTTACGTGGAGAGGAAATGTTTTGAGAATGATGAGGGTAACAAATGTACAAATGCGCTTTATACAATTGATGTATGTATGGATTGTGATAAGAGTTGTATGAGCCCCCAATAAAATGATTTTTACAAAAGAGAGAGAGAGATGCAGTGGTGATAAAGGGAGGTTTCAGAGAAGGACCACGACAAGCAGAGCAGAATCGATGTCTTGTACACTCCTCCTCAGAGCAGAAAGGCGCAGAGTCAGACCGAGCTCTGGTTTATCTCGTAGGCCACAGGGTTAGATGAGACGCCCTCTCTGGGTGACAATGGAAAGTCTGACAAGCCCAGGTGACAAGCTCAGTGAGAAGGTGCCAAGGGCGTTTGAGGTCTCATGACTCGTGAGGATGGAGATGATGTTCAGAACTTAGTACAATTGGTCGTGCTTAATAAAGTCTACACATCTCTTGATGCCAAATAACAGTTGTGGTTACCATTTTTGAACCCAAGAGGAGATAACCTACCTCAGACTCCCCTAAGAAGGAATGCTTGTTAAAATCTAATACATTCCAAATTGCAAGGTTTCAGATTCAGAAACTATTTTTTTTAATTCAAGCTGCCTTCCCAAGAGATTCTTTTTGAAATCACAAATATAGTGTCCAGTTGGATGGCTGGGTGAGGGAGCAGGTGTTAGGATGAAGATGATTTATGAATTCTCTTACTCCGTGGCTAATTAATTCAGTTAGGGTAATTTCTGTAACCTTGATTGCATACTTTAATCACCTGGAGAACTATTAAAACTCCTCACGCTCCACCGTGAACCCAGGCATTGGTACTTTTTAAAGTATCCCAGGTGATTACAATGTGCATCCTGGTTTGAGAACTGTTACACTAAAGGCTAGTGATCAGGGGCCCATTTTGCAATGATGAACTTAAGTGTTTCCGGCCATCCATGCAATCTCATTTGACCCAAGTCACAACCTTGTTAAAAAGCAGGAAAGGAAGAAAGAATGAAATCCTTTCTTTTCCTACTCCGTTCTCACAACCAGCAGCTTAGTTCTACCAATCAATGGCTGTATTTTCATTAACGCCACTCCACTTTATCTCCAGCCTTGGAATTTAGTCTCATTGAGCATCCCAATCTTTTGACCTAATGTGAACTACAGAACATGGGACTGCAACTGTATCCGTCATCCTGTTCAACCCAATTTTACCAACAAGAAAATTGATCGCCATGAGGGTAAGTGGCTGCTCACTGGCCCCCAGCAAACTATAATCCAATCCTAGCCTAGAAATTGGTTCTCCAGCCTATAAAGGCAATGTCGGTTTTTCAACTTCTCTTTGTGTCTAACAGACAATATGTGAAAGCTAGAATTCAACCTCACTGGATCATTGTGTGCTACTCTTTAATTTTCACCATGAATCATACTCTGATTCATGACACACATCTTAAGTACCTATGGCTAAGATTGGTGATCTTAAGACTTTAAGGTGTTAAGAAACTTGTTGTGACAAAAAATTATCTGGAGTCTTTACGGGTCCATAGGACCCACACCAAATGTCTAAATCCTCAATATCTGTTGAGGGGCCTGTAAAAGACATTTTCAATTTTATGATCCATAATAATCTGTTGTTTAATCAGGAACGTTTAATTAATTAACTTTTCAAGAGGTTATTTCCCTGAGAAATGGATGGTTAATCTCCATAGCATTAATTTTTTTGGGGGGGGGGCAGGTCTTATAGTCTAGGACTTTTCTATTGGAATAGACTAATTCTTAGGTGTCTCTGAATGTCAAATATTATTAGAATAATCTGAACTTAGTGAGGAAAAGTAAAATTGTAAGCAATACCCAAATATCTTGGCCAGTGTAGTTTCAATTTTCTTGAAATCTGGTCTTTTTTCTGGATCTTCCTCCCAGCAGCTTTTTACAAGTAGATATACCTGAGAATAAAAAGGGGCCAATAAGAGAGGGGGGAGTTGCTCCATCAAATAGAATTCCTATCTGGTGTACTTCTATAAAGGAGTACTGGTGGTACAGAGGCTAAGGCACTTGGTTGCTCACCAAACAGTCAGTGGTTTGAACCCATTGAATATAGATGCGGCAGTGTGCTTCTGCAAAGATTTAAAGTCTTGAAAACTCTATGGGGGCAGTTCTACTCTGTCCTATAGAACTGCAGTGAACTTGGTTTAGGTCTAGCCTCTTCTATACTGGGAGTAGTTACGGCAGGAAACGTTTCTCTTATCCTGACTGTGAGGATGAGCTCTCTCATTCTCTACAGTTTCTATTGCAGGCAACATCTCCCACCTTACTTTCTCCAATACTTCCCCTGGGCCCTACATTTGATGAAGATGGGTTGAGGGGAGGGAAAGAAATGCTTGATGGAGGTTTACAGGGCTTATGTGGGGGAGGGCAAAGACTTAGTTTGGCTCTGGTGTATGAAAGATACCAAATGAGAGTGAGAGTCAATCTTGTTGTTGTCAGGTGCCATTAAAGCAGATCAAAGCGACCCTGTGTACGATAGAGAGAAAAACCATCTGGTCCTGGGCCATCCTCATGATGTTTGAGCTCATTGGTGCAGCCAGTGTCACACTCCATGTTGTCCAGGGTCTTCCTCCTCACTGACCCTCTACTTTACCAAGCATGAATCCTTCCCAGGGACTGTTAGCTCCTGAAAACATGTCCAAGGTGTGTGGATGAAGAGAGTCAACAGTAGTGGTTTCTCAACTCTGGCTAACGTTAGAATTGTCTGAGAATGCTTATAGCATTTCTTATACCAGGCTCCACTTCATGGGATTCTGATTTAATTGATGTGTACTGGGCCATAAATAGGGTTCCCAGAAGTTGAGAATTTGCACTTGCACCCAAAATATACTGAATCACAATCTACTACTTAACAAGATCCGTAGGTGATTCTTAGAGATTCCAAAGTGAAGCTTTTAGACAGCCAGAAGAATTTTAACAGGACTGACCAGATGATTGTGATTGCAATTTCTCAGTGAGAGGAGTCTGAACCAATTCCAAGCCTGCTCAGAAGTGGAGGAGGAGGAGGTCCTGAGGAAGACCACAGGGTCATCATCTCATGTGTCACCACCAATTTTCAGGTTTTGTTTGATCAAACGAAGTCTGTTCTTCATCCTGACTAAAAGCAAGGCCATCAATGGCATTGGACTCAGTCCCTGTCCCAGGAGGGTGCCTGCACTCATCTCTAGGAACGGACAAGAACCAGAGAACAGCCTCTGATCGTTCACCACTAAATGATGCCCCTGCCCAGGTCAATGAACTGCTGAGTGAGATGTGAGCACCAACAAACAGCAAATGGGTGGATTC